CATCATCAGAACGAGGTAACATCGTCACAACAAAATTCAAGCTTACGAGTCAAGAAAACTCCCCAACACTTCTACTCGAAATGGAAGTAATCCCAACAATTATGAAACAAGAGATTCCACGAAACCCAACTTTTCTTCGTATATATTAAATCGGTCAACCAGAAAGATAAGGAACGGATCTATGGGACCATGGAGGAGATCCGGATAGGAGGCCGAGTCGGATTAGCCGATCAATAGCAGGTGTGATGAGGCCACACTAGATGTGCCAAAAAATGGCACACATTTTGACAAGTTGAATGTAAACAATTGCTAAGTTGTGATAGGGCGGGTGTTGGATAAGAAGGTAAGCAGTGGATAGATAAGCCAGGACAGAAAGAGAATGGAGTTTTCAGCAGAACGTTTGTCGAGGGATTGACTTCACTTGTTTCTTTGAAGAGTTCGTAGCTTGGTACGGGAAATGGCAGCACTTACTGTTGATGCCGACTACGATGCCGGCGAACCGTCTGAGAATGTACCAAGTCCACTGTCTGATGCTGGGAATCATGATAACTACGATGGCAGAGAACTTTGGACTAGGTGCGTTCTACTAAGTCTTCCGGACAACGAGACCAAGTTGCGAAAACGAGGTCAATCCACTTCTTTAACCTCTTCAATTATTTTTAATACCTATTTAGGCCAATTGTCTTGTACCTTGATTTCCTAACCGGGGGAGGAATGACCTATAACATTTTTGTTTGCATACCAAATCGTTTTTTGTAGTAAACTTCAACCAAATTTACTTCTTTGTTAGGGGGACTTTCATTTCGTATGAAAGTGCATGAAGAAGAGATTAGTTAATCGATCTTATCAGATGAGGACGGATAAATCTAGTTATACTGCAGCCCTTAGGCTTTTATACGATATTCATGTTGACGGAGTCCACAAGACTTCCTCCCTCGTTTCAGGTGAAAACGTGCTGAGCTTTCGTCCATCATCAGAGCTCTGTGTCATTCTTGTAAAAGTCTCACGGTAACATTATGGCAAGAACACTATCCGGCTCTAACTTAATTCTTATATAGACTCAGTTAAGCCGAAATAAAATTAAAAACCTAGATATATCGATATAGAGTGGTTTGGTTAATTATCATTCATACTGGTCCTGTTACTTTTGCTCAAGCGTATGCGTATGTGTATGTGTGCGTGTTAGCGTCTATATGAAATACGATTCTTAAATCAGAATTGTCAATGGTTTAATCTCAGGTTCTGATCATCAAGGCCTAATGACCCAACAGAAAGCCTTGACCGAAACTGCGTAAGTCCCTAAACAAGTATTGTTGAGATAATCAGATATGAGCTTGTAGGCATGAAAATCAAGTAACTTAGCAACTTGTCCTTACCTTGGAGTTTAGTTTCATTAACGTTTACCCCCAAAGAAAGGCAAGACTAGGGCTGCGTAATCTGACA